TGACGGTCAATCCCACTATTCGTTGGAAAAAGAGTAGCCCAAGAGTTGGTGGTGGTCACTAGCTGCCTTCCCTTTAGTCTTATACTGCTAAATTAGGGACGACTAACGCAGATAGCCCTCGTGTAGCTTTGCGCGAAATTCAAAAACAATCAATTAAACTTAATACCAGTCAATCGTTTAACACATTTGCTCTTTCTCCGAGTACATGCGACGTCCCAGGACTAAAATAGTCTTTCTGTGGTCCTTGTTACGACTTACCTTATTAGGTATAAATGTCTGTGTCGCCTGTTTTTGTGTTATAGTAAAATTAATTTTTATATAATTTCCAAATTTTCATCGGAATATGAAGTTCCGTTAAAAGTGTAACTGTAAAGTTAAGTCTGAGGTCATGAAGTATGTTGTTTTAGAATAATTTTCTAAGTATGTTGGAGAATATCTTAAACTGCGTCAATCTCATTTTAACTTTAGTAATTATAACATGTCTCATATTTGTTATTAAAAGTAACTTCAAACATTCTGAAAAAAAGTTTATAGATTAGCTTTCTTGTTCCTAATAGGAACGTTGCCTTTATTTTCGGTGTTGTTATAGCTTTTCCTCAGACTTACAAAGCAAGCGGTTATACAATTTTTCTGGGCGATACTTCTAACTCTGTTTGTTATGTTTATTTTGTAAACAGTGTGTTCATCATTGACTTTGTGATTTGTTGTTCGTTATTGTAACCGTCTTACACACAGTTCTTCCCTTCTCTTATCGACTTATGCCAAGTTTGTTAAAACTGTGCATATCATATATTATAAAGCCTTGACATTTGCGTAGGTAAAGCAAGCATTTTGTCTTGCAGCTAAAGTTACCTGAAAGAGTGTTCATTGCGAAGACTTGTATAAAAACTCAGAAATACAGAGAAGTATGAAGAGAGGTATCCATTCTCGTATTATTCATAATTTTATTGAGAATCGGAGAAACTGTGAATACGATATGAGAGGTAAATCTAGACTATATAAAACGTGTTTTCATGTACGTGACATTATTTTATTATTGTTAAATGTTCTATAATGCACGAAATAAATATAATCTGGGTACACCATTGGGGCAATTTTGAATGAATACGATATTCGCTTGTTTCATTATGCTTATTTAGGTTTTTTACCTTTGACCCCCGTTTTTAAATCTCTCATCAACTTGTGTTGCATAGCTATTTTGATACGTTACAAAGCTCTGTATGAAGATATTTCTTTCTCTTAAAAATTAGTTATAACATTGAAAAATGACGTTTTATAATCATGTTATTTGTATGCACAAAAATAATTTTTATACTAAACACCCTGTCCGCGGTTTTGTTTCTGTTGGCCCCATTAATCTGAAATTGGTGTCAAAAATTCAATTCGTTATGTGTATTACAGTGAGATGCGACTTGAATAATAACTCTGAATCTCAGTTACTGACTTGACACTGATTTTGCCATTCCTTTAAATCTACACATTCTGAATTTCTCTTGGAGCATCATTCAACTTGTGCATGTTGGAGTTGCTTTGTGTAAACGTACGTTGTATAGTGTAGACCAAATCTTATAATTGTAAGATTTAACGTAGGATCCAGTATTTTGTTTAAGTGGCATCACCGTATAGTGTTCTTCGATTTAAGTTATTTTCGGTAGTTTAAGTCCACATCTTGTTTCGCGCAAATAATGACCGGTTGTGGTTTTTGTAAAATTGTTTTTCAGTTCTAAATCCGATCTGACATCAGCCTAAAACGTTTAAAATACAGTTGGAGCGTGAAACATGATACCCGTGTGGATGGGAGGGTTGGAGGAGCCGTCAGAAGGATGTTTTTTGTTTTCTTTTTTTTTTCTTTTTTTTTTTTTTTTTTTGCAAAGAGAAATAGGTCTATCATTAATTGTTGAGCAGAATTCCCAGACAGACAGTCGAGTAGGTAAAGAGATAGACTAAACTTATTATGATGACTGGAAGACAAGTTGCTAGCAATGTAAACGTTTCTCTAGTCTTACTTAGTCCTAACCAATTACATCTAACGTTTCATATATAGGTAAAGACGTTTTAGCAGTGAAATGATAGTATAATGAATAGCAGGCTGCTGGTATTACTCAGGATGGACTTAGAATGGGTCACAGTGATGGGAGATATTATATGAAGTTACCTTGTCACGCAGAAAACAGTATATTAGTTGACTTTTAGTTTTATGCGTACTTCTTAGCATTTTGGAAAGTGCAAGTAGAAAATACGCCATTGTTTTTAATTCGGCTTTTATATACAATATTGTATGCTAATATACAAAACCAAAGAACTACGTAGATTTTTTGTTTTCAGAATCTCTGATAAGCAAATAGCTGAGCCTAATGTGTGAATTACACTACTTATAATGTACGTAATGTTGACGCTTTATGGCTGGACAACTGACAATTCCCCCAAATATTGTGTATATATAAACACACACATACGCACTGCCTCTCTGTGTTTGATTAGTATATAAATACACACACACACACACACACACACACACAC